GGGGCAGAACTAGATGGGAAAAAAATGATAAGAGTGGATTAAGAGAACAGAATCACAATAATTCTTCGTTCGTTTCACCGTGCACTTTTTGATATTCCTGCCCGTTAGTTTACCGGGATTTCGACCGATGGATGACAGCATAGAGCCAATGACGAATATTCTGGTCTCAACGTCTGTAAACAACAACAATCCTCACCTATTGGGCCCTAACGTGGAAGGCGGGCCGCACAAACCGAAGCCAATGCTGAAGCGAATTGCCTAAAAAACAAACCCCTGTAGTAGTCTGATAGCCGCGAAGGTTCTTTCAGACAGAGTACAGCAAGAAATATTCAGTAAACTTGTCGCACTCCGCAAAGTGTGACGAGAGCTGTCATTAGGCCCTTTTGGGACCTAGCTTTGGTGCACCAACTACACATGAGTAACCAAAAATAATCGTAAGAACTTTCAAGGATTTCATGATCAAAAATATTTATTATTCAACATGGATATTTTTGTCCTGTGTTATCCAAAAATTTTGCACTGTAGGTAGGAGTATTAAACCTACATAGGGCATCGAAATTCATTTGTGTCAAAAATGATATCACCAACAAATCCGCAAACGTTTTTCAGTCTTCTTTTAATCGATCATTGTTTACCTTACTTCCTTTATTGAATATGCAATGAGACAATTTTTAGGAGGCGGGAAGTTGACTGCCTTAAAACACATAACTGGTAAAGTAAGGTGGTGGTAGTGGTGGTGATGATAGTGGGAATCGAACAGACGTCCTTCAGGGAGCCAAGTTGGTGAACTATACAGTTTGACAACCACCTAGGACAGCTCGACTATTGTGCATAGGGATCCCCGTTTGCTGAATAAACGAAGGCATTTAAGTGCGGAAAAACCAGCTGTTCGTACCCTACCACACTCCCGCACTGGCCTATTGTGGCACAAACAAGCCCTTTCGGCAACGGGCATCAATCGTGCAATTTGGTGTCCAATACGCTACGTACAGTTATACAGAAAGGCACTTAATTACTTTTTCATTACAGCTATACACGTAACTGAAACTAGTATAAATTTGTATCCACTTTTCACCAATTTTCAACACATTCTGTTGAATAAAAATCCTGCCTAAGAAATTAGCAGGAGCCCTTGCGATTAATCCATACCGATCACATCTCTGAGTTGTCAGAGTTATAAAGATAAAAAACATTTATTCTTTGCTGCAACCATTTTTTGGAACATTCCTACTCAGTCAAAAGAACGGGGATTGATTGGTCCAAGTGAGTGGTTGAAGAGCTTGCGCGGGTTTGGTACGATTGGCAAGGGGTGTCAGTGTTTTTGTTGTCTGTATCCAGTCTTCGGGTTCATAAGGCAGAGGGGGTCACTTCTACCACCACTCGTCAACGATGAGGAGTAAGAAACTATAACATTTTAAGGTTAATTTGAGAAACTATCATTTTGATTTGAGAAACCATCACAGAGAAATTGTCACTTCGAATTGAGAAAGCAACGCTATGATTGGATCCGCTTCCGTTCAACGCACCTCACTGGTCAATTGATCACACGTTTTTTTCTACCCCCTGACTGAGCACCTGTCTTCTCACACTCTTTTTGTGTTGAAATGAGGCAGACCTCAGTCGT